AGGGTTCAAAGCGTGTGTAAATGGGCTCCAAGGGAGCACCAACCCTTCTTTTACTGGACAGTGGTAGTCTAAAGTTGAGGTTCTGGGTGGGATTTCTCCCACGTTCCTGAGCATCGTCTCCTACCTCGCCATTAGGAATCCTCACGCTTGGATCGCTTCCGCAGAAATCCTTACAGCAAAGCTGGCCAGCTGGGGAATCAAAGGAATACGAGCTCGGGAAAGAACGATTAGGAGCTTACTCTAAACAGTTTAACCGTTAAATGATGCAAGATATTTTCAGTCACCTTCCGTATATTCATTTGCTTGAGTTTTGTGCTTTATTAAAAAAACTACTTTTTTCTTTATCTTTAAAGCAGTATTTTCCTTTTTATTAATGTATTTGTTGTCTTACACAACAGGGTTGTCTGACAAACCAGAATGAATTGATTCAGTCTTTGGCAGTGCATTTTTTTTAAAGAATGTGATAATGTCGAGCAAGTTAAGGATGTCCTTTATATTTATATTTTTTCTTTTTTTACTTTTAATAAGGCTCTTTATAAAGTGATACTGATATGGTAGGATAACAATAATAAACCGCTACCAAATGCATATAGTAAAAAAGAAAATTGGGGAGTTTTCAGACTTAAACACTGCACTCGAGGAGAAACGAGAACACTGCACAGAGGAGGCAATACAACAAGAACTAGGTATTTTAGAAGATGGAATTGTAGCTAGGACAGGCTGGGTGGGCAGTTCAAAGGAGGCTATCGTTTGCCGGGAAGCGGGAGAAGTGAAGAAGATTGGAAAAGAGGGAGTCTGGGAGCTAAATAAAAGGAAAAACTATGGAGTATAATAAAGAGAATGTTATTTTGTGTAACGTAAATAAATACACATTCTTATATATACATGCACCAAGTACGCACACTTTATTTCTGTTTTCTCTCTGTCTCTTTCTCTCCTTCCTTGTCACTTCCTTGCTGTTGCAATAATTACCATATTTTTGCGTATTTTCATGTTCATGAGGCTGCAGTTACTTGATGGGGTGAAAGCCAACGGTCCTGAAGACACGGCTCTGCAATATGAATTGCTAGATTAGTAGGCCTAGTCTGCGCATGTAATCATGAGAAATATAACAACTCTTCAGTCATATATACTGCAAAACACACACACATATATATGTATGTATGTATGTATATATATATACATATACATACACACACACACACACACACACATATATATATATATATATATACATATATACATACACACATACATATATACATACATATACATATACGTATATATATATATATATATATATATATATATATATATATATATATATATGAGTTCAAATAATGAATCGCTTATAAAACTATCGACATTTTTACTAGCCATGTCACAAAGTGTTCTAAGACGTTCTATGCTCTATTGGAGAGTACTTTGATCTCGTTTTCACTGTTTTCAGGACAAAGTAATGCTGCAGTGTTGATGACTGTGCTGAGGGGAAGCAGTGCTCTTTGGGAGAGGAGCAAGGTACACCGGAGCCTGCTTGGTGTCTTTAGCATGATTGCATAGTTTTTACCTTTGCTTTATTTACTTCTAGAATGATAATGCTTCTTGTGTGATAAATATAAGTCAGAATAGATTTATTTTACATTAATATGTTACAAAATTTCCGTGAGTAAGATAAAACATGATTATTACCTTTATTTCGTTTGGTTCAGAGACATCATGGTTTCTGTAAGAATAATGCCTCACTGTCAACGAGCCTTAGAATAGAGATCCTCAATCCATTTATTTTCTGGTGTTGGCAAAACATCAACATGCATAAACCTGCAATACGTAAAATTATGTTGAAGTGAAAAAAAATACTCATGAAAAAAAAGAAAAGAAAATGTTTAATTATCTATTATTCTTTTCCTTATCACACCTACGCCTCACCCTCTCCATTTGGCTCATCGTGACGGTGTAATTAGCACGACGAAGACTGGCCAGGCTGTGGCTTGTTAACTGCCCTCGGGATAGCAGGGAGGTCAGGTTGTAGGTCATTTGTCATTCTTACCGTTATTTTCATCTATCTTATTCTGACATTTTCTTTCTTTTCTCGGATTCATTTTTTTTCTCCAAGAAAAAGTAACAAGCAAGCTTTTAGAAGTTAACCTCATTACGCTAGTGAAGGTGAGGTTCGTCCATTGGCTTTCAGGGTGTACGCGACATAAACGCAAATACTGTACAGAAACACACACATATATATATGTATGTACACACACACACACACACATATATATATGTATGTACACACACACACACACATATATATATGTGTGTGTGGATATGAATATGTATATGTATTATGTATGTATATATATGTATAATTATATGTGTGTAAGTATGTAAGCATATATATCTAAATACACAATATATACATACATATGTGTGTGTTTGTGTACAAAAATATATATATTGTAATTATTGTATGTATGTAAACACACACACATTTATATGTGTGTGTATCACTCTGTATTTATTTTTGTGTGGAGGATATTCCTGTGTACATATTCACATGTGTATTCACACACACAAATATCGAGATTACATAAAAGCTGTATCTTATTTCCGTGTCCCTTCCAGATGGCGCCTCCGTACCCCGAGGCGGCCGAAGCGAGTTTGGACAAGTTATTTGATTCGCAAACCGAAAGACACGTTAGGGGTCTCGGTCTCTCTCACTCTGTCTGAATAGAGAGTTTGGATTATATTATTTGATATTATTTACGTTATAATTATTTTTGATATTTCACTATTGCTATCATCGTTACTGTTGTTGTTAATGAATCTATTCTATTCGTTATTAATGAATCTATTCTATTCGTTATTAATGAATCTATTCTATTCGTTATTAATGAATCTATTCTATTCGTTATTAATGAATCTATTCTATTCGTTATTAATGAATCTATTCTATTCGTTATTAATGAATCTATTCTATTCGTTATTAATGAATCTATTCTATTCGTTATTAATGAATCTATTCTATTCGTTATTAATGAATCTATTCCATTCGTTATTAATGAATCTATTCCATTCGTTATTAATGAATCTATTCCATTCGTTATTAATGAATCTATTCCATTCGTTATTAATGAATCTATTCCATTCGTTATTAATGAATCTATTCCATTCGTTATTAATGAATCGATTCCATTCGTTATTAATGAATCGATTCCATTCGTTATTAATGAATCGATTCCATTCGTTATTAATGAATCGATTCCATTCGTTATTAATGAATCGATTCCATTCGTTATTAATGAATCGATTCCATTCGTTATTAATGAATCGATTCCATTCGTTATTAATGAATCGATTCCATTCGTTATTAATGAATCGATTCCATTCGTTATTAATGAATCGATTCCATTCGTTATCAATGAATCGATTCCATTCGTTATCAATGAATCGATTCCATTCGTTATCAATGAATCGATTCCATTCATTATTAATGAATCGATTCCATTCGTTATTAATGAATCGATTCCATTCGTTATTAATAAATCGATTCCATTCGTTATTAATGAATCGATTCCATTCGTTATTAATGAATCGATTCCATTCGTTATTAATGAATCGATTCCATTCGTTATTAATGAATCGATTCCATTCGTTATTAATGAATCGATTCCATTCGTTATTAATGAATCGATTCCATTCGTTATTAATGAATCGATTCCATTCGTTATTAGTGAATCGATTCCATTCGTTATTAGTGAATCGATTCCATTCGTTATTAGTGAATCGATTCCATTCGTTATTAGTGAATCGATTCCATTCGTTATTAATGAATCGATTCCATTCGTTATTAGTGAATCGATTCCATTCGTTATTAATGAATCGATTCTATTCGTTATTAATGAATCGATTCCATTCGTTATTAATGAATCGATTCCATTCGTTATTAATGAATCTATTCCATTCGTTATTAATGAATCGATTCCATTCGTTATTAGTGAATCGATTCCATTCGTTATTAGTGAATCGATTCCATTCGTTATTAGTGAATCGATTCCATTCGTTATTAATGAATCGATTCTATTCGTTATTAATGAATCGATTCTATTCGTTATTAATGATTGGATACTTGTTAGATTCATTAATAAATGAATAGATACGAACAACAGTAAAAGGGAAACATTTTTTCTTAATATGTCATAACCATGATCTGCACAGTGGGCTTTATAACAATATGTTTGTCTTTTATTGCTTGTAATATCTATTCATTTATTAATGGATCTAACAAGTGAATGAGTAAATAGATAAATATAAGTATATACATTTCTCTATCTCGATTTGTTGTTTTTCTTATACACACAATGTGAACTTTATTTCTACATATATATTTTTATTCATGTATTGATCCCCCTACACATAAAAGGAACATATGGGACAAGATTTTATCACAAAGGCTTCACGGAGGGCCAGCAAATGGTTTCTCTGTACAGCTTGTGATCATTTATTTTGTACTTTGGTAACACTATTCTACTCAGTATGTTAATGTACAATATACATTATTAATATTGAAATCAATATTAGAAATATGGTTATCTGCTATGACATGAATTAGGCGCGTGGAATGATAAGTATTATTGTTGAGTATACACTCATTATTTTGCTTGTATTTAGTAATTTTCCTTCCCATATATTTGTTCTATCTATAGAAAGTGTTTTTTTATTTGTGTTATTTTGGCGCTAGATTCTCCAAGATGAAATAAATATAAAACAGAGGAATGAAGAGAATGCTGACTGGTGCATCCTTTGAACTGAAGAATATTTATTATCTACTAATGCATTCTCACTTAGAACCTCACCAGTCCTTGTGGAGTAGAAGCTTTTGAAGCTTTAAAAGGCATGTCATAGATACAGTGTGGACACCGGGGGAGATTCTGAAGTTTCATGACGCCGAAGCTCTGGGCAGCGGTAGCGGAGATGATGTATTCGAATAAAAGTGTCAGATCTGTGATTTTCACATCAAAAACTTCAATAATATTCATAGACTATTTTTTTCACTACAGCGTTCTTCTGTCGCTCACCTATTCTTTTTCAGTCCACAATAAGCTTCCTCGTCTTTCTTCTTATGTGCGAGAAATGTCCCTTTGTTTGGTATACATTGCAGAATGCTATGGGAGAGATTTGAAACATATCTGGGCTTAAAACACACATACATATATATACGTGTATATGGATAAATATACTTATTTAAATATACATGTACATACACACACACACACACACACATATATATATATGCATTCATGAGAGAAAAGAGGAAATATCTCATATAAAAACTATCAACAATAAAGGGGCTATAGAAGAAAGACAGGGGAGCTTGCTGTGGTTGAGAAAGAATAGAACGATGTTTTAGCAAAAGAAAGCTATATGGATATTATTGTAAATTTACATAAATGAGAAACCCCATTGACTTGGAATGACGCTTTAATTCAAATTTCTCCGACCAGCTATGGTCTCAAAGAGGCACAGGGGCTTCTTTCTTCCCCCCCTCGTACCGGAATGAACATTTAAGGCGTAGCATATATTTGACTGCGTATTCATATACTAATTAGATTGGTTAATAAATGAATAGATATGAAGAGCAATAAATAAAAAGAGATAATAAAAGAAACACTTTGTTAATGAAATTGTGGTTCCATATTCATGATGTGTTACTTTGCCTTGACTGTACACGTGCAGTTTTCCTTAGTTCTTCATGGGTTGCTACACCATTTATCCATTCATTCATGGAACTTTTGTTTTTTATATATATATATATTTAGTTATAAATATATTTTTGCTAAT